CACCAAGTCCAACCACTTCTATGAGCACTCCCCTCTGACACCCCATAGCATTAGCTATACCAGTTGCTGTATAACAGTGAAGTCACTGACATTTCAATTCTTTAGAAGAGTTGTTTGTTTATATTTTATAAGTGTTTGCCTATATGTGCATATATGCAATACATGTGTCCAAAACCCATGGAGGCCAGAAGAGGGCATCAAATCCCCCTGGAACTGGAGCTATGGGTGGGTATTAATCAATCACGTGGGCGCTGAGAACCACTTCTGGGACCTCTGTAACAGCAGCCAGTGCTCTTGACCCCCAGGGCCATCTCGGCTGCTCTGATATTTCATTCTTATTTGCATCATCAACACCTCTTTATAGATGGCCTATTGGATCTTCAGATTTAGAATCCTATGTGAGAAATGGTTCTTAAGCAAAGAGCTTATCTATTACTAATGAGTTCTGCAAGAATAGCAACATTTCAGTTGACGTGATCTGTCTCATTAAGACCACAGGTTCTCTGAATGAAATTCCTAAAAGAGAAGAGAAGCGGAATGAAAAAGGCACATTTTGCAAGAACAGTATCAGTCACTACACATGGGTCACTTTTCTGTGGATGAGAATGCACTCTCTCACCTGGCACATCACCAGAAATGATTAGAACAAGGCATGGTGGTGCGTGCCTCTAATTTCAGCACTTGGGAGGCAGAGGGATAGAGGCCAGCCTGGTCTACATAGTGAGTTCCAGGCTAGCTGGGACTACAGGGAGACTGTGTCTTAAAAAGACTAAAAAAACAAAGGATAAGGAACAAAATAACCTAATGTGGAAGTAATGAAATATGATTTCAGAATAACCTTGCTCGGTATGGTAGATGAATAAGTAATTACAAATACATTTGATAAGAACCCAGCGTATTCCTAATCATAAGGCTAATATTACTAAGCGTGCTTGTTGATGTATGTAAAAGTAATAGTTAGGCCTTTGGAAGTTTCTATTTGAACACAAATCATAAAGGAAAATCGTCCACTCTGACCTCAGCCTCAGGCTGACACAGGGCAAGACAGACAACCACAAAACCAGAGTCTATGACCTTAAGGAAACATCTGCTTAAAATGCATACTGTTTGCTACAATATCTGAGGTTGTACAGCATCCCAATATATTGTGTTACTGGAAAGATCACAACCCTTATCTACACTTGCCCAAAATATGTGTTTCTGTAAAAAGATGGCTGTTTAAAATTCCTTTAATAGGCTAAAGAACGCATACACATCTACGCTGAAGGTCACAAATCTACCAATATGGTTACTACCAAAAGATGATGTCAAAAATCCTATAAAAATCTATATGTATTTCTGGTCTGGGCCTTAGTTTTCCTACAGCCGGAACTCAGAATGAGACCCAGGCATCATCAAGAAAAACTTCTTTCACTTTCTGAGTACGGCTTGAATCTTGGAGCTGTGCCAGGTCAGTCTTGCTTAATTCCCATAACATTATACCACAATTACCTGAGACCACACTTTGGAATGTGGTTTTTTTAAATCTCTTGAGGATGAGGCAATACAGTTTGTAATTACTTTCTTTGTAACACTCATTACTTTGATACTTGAACTTGCTATATACTCACCAGTGGATAAATCAGTGATAGATGAGGAGTCTTCTTTACACATACAAATATGAAAATAGCCCTGAAAATTGGTGGTGCTTTACAGAACTTTCACGATACACAACCTTGTGGAGGAAGTATGCCTACTGCTCACATGATCATCCCCACATCCTTACTCCTGTTAGGGGAATCAAGATGAGACTGACCTGCCACATCTTGAATACTCAAGCCAAACTCAGGAAACAAAAGTTTCCTTTTATTATGTGTTGGCCCCAGTCAGAAAGCCTCCTCTAGAGAAACTGAGGCCCGGACCAGAAACACATGCAAGTATTTATAGGATTTTTCAAATCATCCTTCAGCAGTAACCATAATGGTGGATTTGAGACTTTCAGCTTATACATGTTATGTGCCTTTTAGGCTAATATAGGTCATCTAAATCATCAGCTTTTACAAAAGAAGACATTTTGGGCAATTGGATGCTAGAGTTGTGACATTTCTGGCAACACAATATGTTGCTGATGCCAGTACGATCTCTGCTATTTTATCAAACAGGACCCATTGTAAGCAGATGTTTCCTTAAGATCATAGACTATGGTTTTGTGGTTGTCTGACCTGCCCTGTGTTTGGTACTTATTCATTACCATACAGAACACAGTTATATGGCAGTGGTAGTTCCTTAATTCCATTAGGAATGTGAGGTTAAGGTTTTGTTTTTAATATTTTATTATTTTTATTTTACATGTAGGAGTGCATGGCCTGCATCCATGTCATACAGTGTCTGCAAAGGACAGAAGAGACCATTGAATTCCCTGGTACTGGAGATACGGACAGTTGTTAGCTACCAAGTGAGTGCTGGGATTCAAACCTGGGTGTTATGCAAGAACAGCCAGTGTTCTTAACTGTTGAGCCATCTCTCCAGCCCCACATCAGGTTAACTTTAACCAACATTAGGTTACTTTCCCCTCATCACTCACACCCATGATGAAAGACATTGATAAAACAGGGCAAGGAAAACTGTATCAGACAGAGGATACTAGCCACTTGGAATGACAGAGGAGGACACTCTTGGACCCTGAAAGCTTCAAAATAAGTTAGAAAAGATTTTACCTCATTTGGCCATTAGCAAAAGTATGAGATACAATGAAATTCATTGAAGTGGTATCTTTTTCTTCCCCTTGACCTTGTCCTAATAGCACCCTCCCTGAATTCTGCATCTATTGTTCTTCAACCTGTCAGTAGTAAATTGAGGTTTCAGTAGCAACAGTTGAGAAGAACCTGGAATGCTGCAGTTATTGGACACAAACCGCAGAGGGGTATGCTGGGGGAGAAACTTTTGCATCTATGGAGTCTGGTGTGAAACACATTTATAATCATGTGGGTTCTATATCACTGTGTTTCTTCTTGCTCTTTTTTAAGCTCAATGAAGTGTCTAGAAATTTCCCCACATTTTAGGCTCCCAATTCAGTGCATCAGATTTTTAATGGATGGTGGATGAAGGCACGAGAACTTTATGATAGAAACAAAGGACAGTTTGTATACATAGTTATACTCATACTCAAAGTAGACATGCTTTCTATGCGTCCCTGAATCTTGCTTTCCATTGGGAACTATGCACATGAGATGGTACCGTGGTTTGAATGAAGAAGATTCCCCTACATGATCCAGATATTGGAACATGTCGTCTCCAGTTGGTGGCGCTGTTTGGGGAGATTTGGAAGTTTCGGCCTTGCTGGGGGAAGCACATCACTGGGGGGGGGGGGCTTTGAGAG